ACCTTAGTCCTCAAGCTGACATCTTTGCTCTTGAACACTTTAAAAAGTTCCTGTGCGGTAGATCTGCTTAATGCAATACGTCATCTGATCTCTTGACTGCTGCTTCCTTGAGTTGATAATTGATCCCAAGAAGAATGAAGTCCTTGACAACTTCAATCTCTTCTCCGTTGATAAGAATGTTGTTTATTGGTCCAGTGGTGAGGATTTTTTGTTTTCTTGACATTGAGATGCAATCCATACCGAGCGCTGTGCTCTTTGATTTTCATCAGTAAATGTTTTAATTCCTCTTTACTTTCAGCGATCAAGGTTGTATCATCTGCATATCGCAGGTTGTTAACAAGTCTTCCTCCAATCCTGACGCCACACTTTTTTTCACAGAACCCAGCTTCTTGTATTATTTGCTCAGTATACAGGTTGAATAAGTATGGTGAAAGAATACACCCTTATCACACACCTTTCTTAATTTTAAAACATTCAGTGTTCCCATGTTCTGTTGGAACATCTGCTTCTTAGTCCATGTACAGATTCCTCATGAGCACAATCAAATGTTCCGGAATACTCATACTTTGCAATGTTGTCCATAGCTTGTCATGATCCACACAACCAAAAGCCTTTGCATAGTCTATAAAGCACAGGCAAACATCTTTCTGATATTCTCTGCTTCTAGCCAAGATCCATCAGGCATCAGCAATGATAACCCTTGTTCCAAGTCCTCTTCTGAATCCAGCTTTAACTTCTGGAAGTTCTCTGTCAGTGTATGATTGTAGCCATTTCTGTATTACCTTTAGTAAAACTTTACTTGCATGGGATATCAAAGCGATTGTCCCATGATTTCCGCATTCTGTTGGGTCACTTCACTTAGGAATGGGGACAAACATGCATCTTGTCCAATCAGTTGGCCAGATAGTTGTCTTCCAAATTTCTTGGCATAAATCAGTGAGTGCCTCTAATGCCGCCTTACTTTTTTGAATTATTTCAAATTTTATTCCATCACTTCTTGGTGCCTTGTTCTTTGCCAAATCTGTCAATGCACCTTGGACTTCTTCCTTCAGTACCATTGGCTCTTGATCATATGCTACCTCTTGAAACGGTTGAATATCCACCATTTCCTTTTGGTACAGTGATTCTGTGTATTCCTTCCATCTTCTTTTGATGCTTTCTGCATCATTCAATAATTTGCCCACAGAATCCTTTAATAACGAAAGTTGAGGCTCCTAAAATCCTGTTAACTGTTGATATATGGAGGGATTGTAACCATGTAATGAAGCAAAGTGTTTGTCTGAGCTGCACTGAAGGCATTAGAGAAACAAGGTTCCCGGGCTTGACTGAATACCAGTCAAAATCTTTTCATGAATTGAAGTGCTAGGGGTCTTTACTTTGGGATGCCAAGAAATTTACAAGACAGTAGCTTCCTGGCCAAAGGGTGGGAAGATGCTTATTTGTATCCATTCCAAAGAAAGGTGAGATCCAGTGGGATGTGGAAATCATCAGAAAATATCATTAATAGCACATGTAGATAAAAGTTTGCTAAAGATAACTCAAAAATGGTTCCAGGGAACTGTCAGAGGTTCAAGGTGACTTAGAAGAGAATGTGAAGAGTGTCCATTGTTACTCTCAGATGGGCGTTAGACAGAAGCAGAGAACACCAGACAGATGCTAAGCTTGCTTTATCGCTCTACAGTGGCACTGTAGGATAAGCACTCAACCTCGAGGTCTGTTTGGACTGCAAGTTCAGTGGTTCAAACTTACCAGCCGTTCCTTTGAAACCCTGTACAGAGTCGTTTTGAGTTGGAACCGACTCAGTGGCACTTAACAATCTGTTAGAGAAATGAAAACAACGTGTTGCGTTAGGCATATCTGCTGCACAGTTCCTCTTTAAAGTGTTGAAGAGCAAAGATGTCTACTTGAGGACTAAAGTGCGCCTGGCCCAGGTCATGGTATTTTCAGTGATTTCATATGCATGTGAAAGTTGGACAGTGAACACGGAAGACCATACAAGACTTTCATGCATTTGAGTGATGGTGTTGGAGAAGCGTATTGAAAGTACCATGGGCTGCTAGAGGAACAAAGAAATACATCCAGAATTCTCTGTAAAAGTTAGGATGGCAAAACTTGTCTTTGGTCATGGTGTCAGCAGGAACGTATCCCTGGAGAAGACCATCGTGCATGGCAGCCTGTCTGGAGAAGAGCCAGGGAAACAGAGGAAGGACCCCCAGGGCAGTTGCCGCCATGGGCCCATATGTACCTGTAGTCTTTTGTCTGATGTGCTGCCGTTGGGTCACTGTGAGTCCGGATGACTGGCTGGCAGCGAACAGTAACAGCTGTACTTTATCCGCGTCCTGTCTGTTTCCTACTAGGTTTGTCTTTTCCCAGACAGAATGCTTTCCCAGTGAGGGCTTAGACTGTGGTCCTTGTGGAACTCTGAGGAGCCTCCCAGCATTTACTTTCCTTTCCCCTTTCCACACAACTTGCTGAGAAATCAAAACTACAAGTGTGTCAGCCAGCAGGTGGACTGGGCCCCTGGTGGCAGAGGCTAGGGACACATGGGCGGAGGAGGTCTCATTAGTGCTTGACCTTGTTGGGGGGCATCCTGAATGGGATGGCTGCCTTGTTTCTGGCGTTAATGTCCTTGGAGAAGAGCCGGTTCCTGGTCAACACTGTGTCGCTAAACACGGTCAGTACTTAATGTGCTTTTTTTGTGTTTAGTCTTTTGTATTAGAGTTTCACTTCGAACCCAATGACTACTTCACCAACCCTGTCCTGACAAAGACGTACAAGATGAAATCCGAGCCTGACAAGGCAGACCCTTTCTCCTTTGAAGGTCCGGAAATCGTTGACTGTGACGGGTAAGAAAGCAGGGCTCTCACTTCCTTCTGAAACGAAGGCCAGAAACAATTTTGGAACTTCCCAGGTGAAATAAAAAAGAGGCGTGAACCTAAACGGTTTCCTTTGTCCAATAGACAAAGATCTGGCTTGAGTCTTTCAGTGTGGGGCTACATGCAGTGGGGTTGATGTACGATTCGTACAGCCATGAGGTGACTGCCCGGTGGCCTGACAGATACCTTGGTACTGGAGCGTGTTGGTGCAGGCCAGTACTGGCCACTTTCTTGCTTTGGAAGTTGGTGGACCTGTGGGATTGCTCTTTGAATCACAACCTTTCCTTTAGATTTTGTTCCTCTTGGGTCACTGGTGGCTCTTTGGGCCTTTTGTCCATTAATGGAGACGGTCACCCCAGTCACTGGAACCAGGCACTTCCCCGACATCAGCTCTCCTTTGTGAGACTCAGCACTATTAGGAGCCTGTTGACTTGGTGTCTAGAGCATTTTGAAGGACATTCTCAGGGCAGCTGGCCGGGAGGGGCACCTCACAAAAGGTCACGTGGCTCGACCTTGGGCTTAGGGTTCTTGGCCCTGGTCATCAGGACCTGCAGCTGGCCACCAGGGTCTTGGCACTGACTCACTCTGCTCCGAGTGTTGCCTTGGGAATCCCAGGCTCAGGAGTGGCCGGCTGAAAGGGCACTGTCAGGTGGGAGCAGAGCCAGCATTTCCTCCCTCTTTGCTGGCTTGATCTTCACAGGTGGCCTGGGGTTGTGTGGGCTGGTTCCATTCACATTCTCTGATTGGATGTGGAGCAGTGGTTTGCTTGCTTCTTCCCGGGGGGCTGGGGGTCCCTGATGACTGTGTGCTGTCTACTATGCCTGTAGATGCACTATTGACTGGAACAAAGGGAAAAACGTCACCGTGAAAACCATCAAGAAGAAGCAGAAGCACAAGGGACGAGGCACTGTCCGGACGATCACTAAGCAGGTCCCCAATGACTCCTTCTTCAACTTCTTCAGCCCTCTCAAAGGTAGGTCCTCCTGGGAGCCTAGTCCCGTCAGAGGGCATAGACCGTGGACTTGGAAGATTAGGTAATGGGGCACTGGGATAACCCCAGCTGGATCCTGGGGAGCCCCCAGCCCCGACAGGCCTTTCTTGTGCTCCTCTGAGTGAAGCCCTTTTGCTCCAGCTCCGAGCTGTAGTGAGCCCCAACCTGGGTGGGCCTGGTGATGGAGGGTTCTGCCGGTTACATTGCCCCCCCCCCGGAATATGAGTGTTTGGTGACCACCCTGGCTTCTTCGCCTCCTCAGTGTGTTTGTAGGGTGAGGATTGCTGTTCATGTGACCCCTGGTGTGAGCAAAGCCTGTCTTCCTGTGTTCTAACTGCCAACCCCATTGCACTGTGCCCTCAGGCACCTCCTGGATTTCTGTTTGACAGATGCCTGTAGTGGCATTTCTGGTTTTCATCCGTGTTCCATCACTGACTTTCTGCCCCCTACCCTTTTCTGAAAATGATCAGTTCAGGGTGTGACCTGTGAGTCAGTAAAGGGTAGCAGTGGGGATTGTGTGTGGGCATCGCTGTATAATCCTGGGGACACAGACTAGACTCTTCAGCAGTGTTGAAATTGTGGATGTGAGGAAAGCTGTGTTCTCATTTTCCATGGGCAAAAACTGTTTGAAACACAAAAATGCCACCTCCCAAGAATGAGCTTGTAGTTCCTTTTTAGATGATTTGCAAGAGAACAAAGTGTGCCAGTAGTGGGGGCCAGGTCAAGGGGAGCCACGAGAAACCACATGTGGAGAACTGGAAGAGACAGCCCTCTGTTCTCTTTCGAACACAACTGCTGGTCCCAGGGACACCGACGTGTGTGGGGGTCTCCACCTTGCCCCTAACTGGTGCCTTAGACCCCCACGCAGCTCGGCCCACTTCTCAGCATAATGGGGCCTAGTGGGCAGGACACCACATTGAAGACCCTGGCAGAGTGCCAAGTATGAGGCACCACCCTGGAGGACCCCCATTCCCCACCCCTCAATGAGGCTGAGAGTGTGGTGACCTCCCCAGATACTTCGGGTTCCTCACCCAAGTGGCTCCGGTCCCCAGGGTAAGACTGAGCAGAGTGGCCAGTCGGTCCCCACCAGGGCCTTTGTCCCGCATACCTTCAGAGCCCACGGTGTGTCACTCAGCCTGGTGATGTGTCTTTGCCACCAACAAGGCCTGTGTGGTGGTTGTGGGAACGTCCTCTGAGGAGTGAGCTGCCTGCCCACCCACACCGCAATTTTGATTTGCATGAAGAAGATTCCAGCGCTGCGCATCCTCCTTTCTAAATACACACAGCAGCAGCGCCTCCTCTTGGGTGGGATGGCTGCGCAATACCACCTGACATCCACCTAGGCCCCTGAGCCTCTTCCCACCACAGTGAGGAACCCAGGACTACCTCGCTTTATGAAGCCTTGTTTAATCTGTCAGCTGAGCTTTGTGGGTGGGCTCCTCTAAAAGTGAGTGATATTAATGTAACAGAAATGTTTTGTCTTTTTCCTTTTACAGCCTCCGGGTATGGAGAGTCACTGGTAAGATTTGGGTCAAAAAGTCTTGCTTTCCGGGGTAACTGTCCACTTGTTAAAAGTCCATTCCACCCATACAGCTTGCCCTACGTGGTGGTCGCATCTGGTTGGGAGTGGGGAGTAGCAAGGACTTCCTGGGGAAGGTGGCGGGCCCTGTCTGCTGTCATGTGACCTGAGACATTGAAATGCAGGGGCTGGGGTTTCAGTGGGTCACCAGAAGTGGGGGTTTTGTGGATGCTGAGCTCTTTCTCCCACAGGATGAAGACTCCGAGTTCACCTTAGCCTCTGACTTTGAGATTGGGCACTTTTTCCGCGAGAGGATCGTCCCCCGGGCGGTGCTCTACTTCACTGGGGAAGCCATCGAAGATGACGACAACGTACGTGGGGTGGGGTGGGGTCGGCGTGCAGCTCTGCTTGTCGTTGTCAGCTCTGCTAGTGCAGTGGCTAAGTGCTTCAAATCCAGAGCAGTGAGACCTGGGCATTCTGCTCCTTAGCTGTAAGGTGATAGCTTAGGAGACCCTGTTGGCTCACTGCGTCGGGATTGACTAGGTGGAGCCAGTGTGCCCATCCATCACTCCGGCTGTAGAGCCATCAGTATGTGGGAGCCTCCTGGATGGACTTACGGCCCCACCTGACAGTGAGCCTCTCCTCTGCTGTTCAACCCCAGGGAAACAAACCCAAGGTTCCGGAGTAAAATGGCAGAATTCAGCATACCTCTGTGCTCAAGGGAGACCAGCTCATCTGTTGCCAGACTTAGGGGGAGCGCAGCCATCCCAGGGCAGGGTTCCCCATCAGCATCTGTAGCGTGTCACTAGCACTGGGTTCTGGATGCTGCTTGAACCCATGATCCTGGTGCTTTTAACGTCTGTCCTTGTTGGAAGTCAACTGGGGCTGTGGGTAGACAAGCAAGCACTCGGGCCTCTTGGAGGCTAGGAACCTGGGGGCTCCCAGGGCTGCTCCCCTGCTCTGTCCCACTGGGCCAAGGTGCTCTTTTGGAGTCATCTGAGATACCCACCTCACCTCTTAGAGTTCAGCCTTTCCTCTGTCACGTGCCCCAGCCGTGGGGAGGTGGTGCTGCCAGAGTGCTGCTTCAGGCACATTCTGGGCTCGTTCTGAGGAGGTGGCCAGTAGGGCTCGTAACACTGGAAAGAACAGCTTTGACCAGTGGTCTCCAGATGGTTTCCAACTGCAACCTTGTGCGTTGGTTTACCATCTCACATGCATGTGGAGACTCCTGGGCGCACACACCATTGATGCATGAGCAGGGTGAACGTGGTGGTGTCGCCTGGTAGGATGAAGCTGGGGAACAGTGTCTAACACAGAGTGGGCACTTGGGCAGGTTACTTTGTATACACTCACCCTTAACACCTGTTAGGGGTGCGTCTTAGGAACTGGGGGTCCACGAAAGCAATAGGCCTCGTTCTCACTGACTTCTGGGTTCAGGCCAGTTCTGTGTCTTGATTGCTTAGCTTTCAGGTTTTAGAACCTAAAGGTGTTCCTTTGTTTTTCTTTCAGTTTGAAGAAGGCGAGGAGGGTGAAGAGGAGGTAAGGCACAGGTCTCGTGGTCATTTCGTGGCTGCCCAACAGAGAGCCATGAGAGTAACAACAAAAATCCTAGCTGAAACACCCACGGGAAGAGAGCGCTGTGATTGGTTAGGGATCCCAGAAAGTGATCGGTCTTCGGTGGAGACCCCGCAGTCCTTGACTCCTGTCATCTTTCTCTCTCTCACCCGTTTTTCTGCAGGAACTTGAAGGTGACGAGGAGGGAGAAGAGGAGGAGGATGCAGAAATTAACCCCAAGGTTAGTGTCTGCCACACTGTTGGACCTTCTGAAACTTGCCCCACCTCTGCCACAGGTGTGGGGAGTCTGCGTGTGTCCTCGACCTGGGGATGAGGTGCTCTCTGTACCTGCAAGTCTGGAGCTGTAGCCTAGAATCCCGGGCCACAGAGGTTTCATAGAGCAGCTTTATTACAGATCCATCACTGTTTGAACATAGTGGCTTAACTGACAATGTGGGTACATGTATTTGCTTGGTTTTTGGAAAAGGTGTAAAAGGGTCTTGGGGAGTAAAGAAATCATTACTTAAACACGAGTCACCACAGTATGACCAACAGCCAGACGAGTGGTGGACTTGATGGCTAAAATGACGAATTTGTCAGCAGTTCTTAGGCTGAAAATAGAAAGAAAATGTGTCTAGATTTTTACCTCAGAGTATTCCAAATAAGTGAGCATGCTTTGCTAAAGAAAGCAAATTTTAAAATAACATTTTTTGATGGAGACCCTTTAAAAGCACCTATAAATCTGATTGTTTATGTGGTATCAGATTAGCTGAAATCAACCTACTTTGCCGCTGAGCATCATTAACGTCCAGACTGCTCTACTGCTGCCTAAAAGCGGGCGTGAGAATTGACTCTGATTCTCGAGCATGAACTGAAGCTTTTGCCTTACTTGCATCTTTGAGTTCTGTGTCCCGTGGCCTGGTTGTTTTGTGGTGTGTCCTCCGTCTACACCAAGTGCATGGGAACTAGGTTGTCAGTGTGTCGGCACCGAGGACTCCAATGAACGCCTCTGAGTTCTCGTGGGCTGCTCGAACCAATAGCTCAGTGGAGGCTTTAGTAGATACGAGGGGCTCTCTCCAGGGGAGGGGTTCTGTCTCATCAGCTTCTGTTTCTTGGCCCCGTGGCTATGTTCATACGTCTTGGCATCTGTCTTACCCCTCTCTGCTCACTTGTTGGATCTCCGCTGTAGAATAGCACTGGACTACTGACCACAACCCTAGACAGGATCACTGTGAGTCGGATCCCACTCTGTGGCACTTAACAACCACAGACCTTAAAAGCGATGAACTGCCTCGTTAACATGGCGAAGTCACCTCAGTCCCAAATGGGACTCACCACATGTCTAGATGTTAGGATTCACATCATATCATTGGGGGGGGGTACATAATTCCTAGCATTCTGCCTTTTTGTACCACAAAATGCATGTACTTGCCACTTTGAAAACACAGTCACACCATCCCAAAAGTCATACAATCAACTCCAAGTCCAAACTCTCATCTTTGGCAGCATCTAAATCAGATACCGATCCAACCTGGGGACAGATTCCCTCTTACTCCATGACCTTGCTGAAGCTAGACTGCCTCTTGCCGACTACAGTGGTGTTGGACATCGCCCTAACAAAATGAAGGGAAGGCAGGGGACCTAGCACTCAGTAAGCCCCTGCGCACTTCACTGTCCCAGGTCCCATCCTTCTGGCCCACCTTGGGACAGCCCCGCCTGTGAACCCACCCTTTTAGATGGGAGGTTCAGCTGCTGGCCCCCTCCCTGCCCACAGCTCTTATGTCTCCGCCTCTCTGGCTTCTCCTCCGGTCAGTTTCCGGCCTGGACATGGAGAGGCTGCCAGCAGTCCTGCTCCTTGTGTCCCCTCAGTCTAAGCGAATGAGTTTCCGGCTCTGATGTTGGTTGGCTCCATCAGTCACGGGTTTGGTCTTTAACAAAACGTGCGCATTCTAGGACACCGTGTTGCTGTGTATCACAACCTCTTCCACAGTGGTGTTTGTGTTCTGCAGTATGTTTAGTTCTCTTGTCTGTTACATTTTACTATAGGCGTCACGTGACACCTGTAAGCCCTTACTTAGTGAGATAGCCAACTTCATCACAGACAAGTTCGTTGACACTGCACAAGAAAGCATCATTTTCTTTTCTAGCCTTGCCGGAAGTGAGTTTCACGTCCACACTTCAGCGTGTGTTCCCCTTACCCACCACCACAGGAGGATAGGACTTAGAGCACCCAGTTCCATCTGTAATAAAATGAGTGTCCGGGAAGAACAAGAGAAGGGTTGTGCATTTCACACTCTGAAAGCACAAGCCATGTGTACACTTCTCTGGGACTCAGCTCCTTAGAAGCTGTGGGTCACTGGAGGCTGATGTGGTCATGTGACTGTGGGAACATTGTGGCGGGCAGGGAGACGAGACAGGATCTGGGATGGCCTCACCTGGTCTCAGTGCCCTGTGTGCCCTCCAGGGCCCTGGTACCACTCTCAGGGCTTGATCAGAGCCCGCAGCACCCTCACCTCACAGCTACGCTTTCGAGTCTGAGATGCTTGTCTGGCTGGAATCTGAGACTCCGCTCCTCTGGGGGCTTTGTCTTGTCTGTTTGGCTTCTCCTGTTGCCTGCCACACCTGTGTCCCTTCTCACGCCACCTGTTTCTAAGAGCGTTCTCAGCGCAGACCTTTGGAGTCGTGACTCCAGGTGTGCTGCTTCTGTCCGTTCCTCAGGGTGGTCCCTGACTGGCTCTGTCCCGGTAGGAAGGAACGTTTGGTGTTGGAAACAGCCGATTGGTAGTGAGGGCCCATTGTCGCGGGTGCTGCCGGGCTGGGCTGTGTGTTGGCAGCTCTCCTGCGTCCAAGAACCTGTGCTGCTCCCCTCCTGTGTGAGTCTGATGCTGACGGCTCCTTTCCATCTCTCCCCGTTTAGGTGTAATTATGTCTGTTAGCCATTCATGCGTTTCTAGGTAAGGTGGAACTCCATTCCGACCTCCTTCCCAAGCTTCCGGTCTGTATGTACACCCCGTGGTCTTGGCTCTGGGTGAGGAGGTGGGAGTGGCTGGGGGTCTGATCGGGCACATAATAGCAGAGTCTTGGCCTGTGGGAACCTTTCCTGGGTGGTGGCCCTGCTCTCCAGGAGAGGAAAGGGCCCCGGGAAGATAAGTCATAGGAAGCCCCAAAGACTCCGTGCCCCTCACTTGGGGCCCATTGTCGGTTCTGGGTGGCTGGAGGGTGGGTGGGTGTTAACTGTGATACTCGGTTACTGGGCTGTTGCGTGTAAATAAGCAGGAACATGGAGTCCTGATTTTTCATGTGCCCGAATTTCCAGCTAAAAAGCTACAAGCTTCTGTTCAGGGCTGTAGGGGGAGAAGGATTTGTAGTTAGAGCCAGCATCTGCCCAGAGGCCCCCACATCAGAAACGGGGTACTCGGGCCTGCCCTCACCCAGCATGCTGCATGACAGTACCTGAACAGTGCGTCTGGAATTCCGCCAAGCATGCTACCTGCCCGGTGTCTGCGCGTGTCTGGAAATGGGTGCTGGCTGAGATGTGAGGGGCTCTCCTCCCAATCCCAGACTACAAAGGTGGGAACAGGAGTTGCTGAGGAGAGAGATGATATCTAGGACACCCCCCTCCCCCAATGTTCTTTTCTGGCTTTCTTCTTGTGGGACCACTAGACAGCAAGCTTGGTGTCACTTGGCAACACAGACTCGGACTTTAGTCATCAACGGCTGGCCCACAGCTATGCCTGGTTGTCTCATCGTACCGCCAGATGTAGGAGGTGGCTGTGTCACCATGGGGGTGGTCACTGTGCCCCATCCTTTCGCATCATTGGAGCACGCTGCCTGCATCCTGCTAGTCAGGTCCCCGGCTGTGCCTCTGTACCTGGTCCCACCTCTGCAACAGGGCATTCCCTGGTACCCCCCATTCCGGGCTGGGTGGCCAGGTCTGCTTTGAATGAGGTCACTGGCTTTAAGACTAAGGGAGGCTAAGGTATTGTTAGGTTTAAGTGCTGGGGAATACAAATGACAGGAGGAAGTAAGCACTCTCTCCCTCTGAGTGGTCTGCCCCACTTCCCACGGTGTCACCCCTACAAAACCACTTTATAAGCTTCACATGGCCTATCCTAGTTCCTTTCTGCAAACCTCCGAGTGGAGCTGCCCACACAGGGCAGTACCCATTCGCCTCTGGCCACGCATGCATCCTCAGCTCCTTGCCTTCAGTGGCCTGCGTTCTAAGAGGCCCACCAGTATCCAGGATGCTTTCCCAGGAGTGTGGTTTCCCAGGGCAGGGGGAGAGCTACACAGGCAGGTTTACTGGCTCAGCGGTGGAGCCAGGCGTCTCTCCTGGCATGTTGCTGACTTCTGAGCACCACTCAGGTTGCTGATGTATTAGGCCCAAGTGGCCCTTAATGCAGTGGTACCTCCTTGTTCTGAGACACAGCCAGTGGCTTCTAGTCGCCTTCTCTGTAGAGGCAGAGGCTCTGACAGGTATAATCCAATGTCTGCACAAGGCCAGCAAAAGGAAGGATTGTTCCCTGAACCTTTGCAGAAAGGGGAGACTGTTACCTCTGGTGAGGCTTGTTTATGGTCTTCCTGGAGTGGCCACTTACCCTTGCGTCTAGCACTCAGGAATGGGTCTCCCTGGCGACCCCCTGCAACTGGAATAGAGACCCCCGTGAGCCTGCACTTAATGACTCTGGACCTGGGGGTGGTGGCTCCTCTGGGAGGAGTCCCCTGTCCTGGGTTTCTGCCATGGCAAGTCCATCTGTGGTCCCCAGCACTGTGACTAGGAGCAAGCCAAGCGAGTGCTCTGAAAGACCTGTCCCCTCTTGTCCACAGAAGGAGCCCAGCCAGCCGGCCGAGTGCAAGCAGCAGTAGACGTGCGCCTCTGCGGCCGCCGGAATACCCTCGGGGACCCCAGCCACCGCCGCCACACGCTCTGGGTGGACAGCGAGCGTCACGCCTCACGCGTTCTCTGCGCATGGTTCCACTTTCCTTTTGCTTTAGGATTTGGCTTCACTTGGACAGTGGCAGGGGCTCTGCTCCGTGCTGGGCCTGTGGGGGCCCCGTGGCTGCCTCAACCGTACTAGCCTGGCAGAGCCGCATAGAGTAAGGTCACGTTTTATTTAGTTTTCAGGGGTTTGGGGTGGGGTGTGGCACACACCGACTCCTGGGTGATGGCTTTAGCTGTTCCTTTTCGTATTTATTTATTCATCCGTGTTCAGACGGCCTCTCAACTGTGGCTCGTCCTCACGATTTCTGGTGCCTGGGCCCAGAAGTAGGGGTGTGCCGCCGCTCTGAAGGCTGAGGGGCTCCGGTGGAAAGTCGTTCTGTGGAGCTTGTGAACGTCCAGTCTTGTTTTCTCGGCGCCCTGGACTCGGTGCCTCCTGCCCTGGCTAACGTGTGGGGTTGGGGTGTGGGGCCCCCCGCTGGCCAGGGTGTAGCGCCTGCCCAGCCTTACCTTACAGTACACGTTTCTATCTTATACTACGGTGTTCCAATTTGTACAGCATAGTTAGAATATTCTATTAAAGTTGTGAAACATGAATCAACCCTGGGCTTCGTCTGTCTTTGGGGACCTAGTGCCCACCGACCTGCCTTCTCTGCTTGACAGAGGCCTTCCTGGTGTCGGGGAGAGGGGCTTTTCCACAATGGGAGCAGGAGAGATGCTGATCCCCCGTGTTGAGCAGCTACCTTTTGAATTAAGGTTCCAGGAAGGGACATCCCATATGAAAGCCACCTTCAATTCTCTTTGTGTTCCTCCTGCCCCGATGGCTCCTGTCAATGGCCTCCATCCTGGAGAGAGTGATTGGGTGTGGGCAGGTGCTGAGCGCAGGGGCAACGGTACACACGGACCCCTGAGCACCAACACCTTTCTGATTTTGGACTGGAAAACAAGAGTCCTGCTGTTGTTACGTGCCGTGGAGTCGGTTCCAACCCATAGTGACCCTGCACAGGGTTCCCAAGGCTGTAAATCTCTACAGGAGCAGAAAGCCTCATTTTTCTCCCACGGAACAGCTGGTAGTTTTGAACTGCTGACCCTGAGGTTAGCATCCCGATTCGTAAGCGCTACACCCTGTAAAATGGGCTGAGCCCCAACAGCTGCAATGTCCTCACATTATGGTCCCATCCTGAGTGTCCTGTGGGGCCTTCCCCCACCCCGAGTGGTCAGATGTGGCAGACATGACAGGCTGGAGGAGCAGGGGTTGCTGCTTTGAGCTTTCAGGAGCTCTGGTCCCTTGACCACCAGCCTGCAGTGAGGAGGTCCGCTGTCTCCTTTAGGTCTCCACTTTCCTGTGGGCTGGGCCCTAGGCTGTACCTGGCCAAAGCTGGGTCATTGTGGGGGAGGGGGACAGCAACATCTGACCCTGAGGGGTGCTGGGCTCTCTGTGTCCTCCCTGCCCTCATGAGGCCTCGCCCACCCCACTCTTGACAATGTCTGGTCTTTCTGCAGCTTCCGGGGTGGAGTGGCTCACACCCAGAGCCTCTCTCCGGTGACAGCTCAGCTTAGGGACCAATCCTTAAGACAGGCTGGGGAAGGCAACCCTGTTACTGCTCCGCCAGCCTCCTCCAGGGCCACACCTGCAAGGCCTCATCACTAGTCCCGCCGCCTGGCCAGGCTGACTCAGCTCCCCAACAAGCCGGATGTTTGTCTCCATGACAACCCAGAAGAGTCTGGCCTCTCCCAGGGCTGTTCCTTGAGACATGGGAAATCTGTCACCTCTGAATAGTGACTGCTTTTGCCTTTGGCCCACCCTGATGGTCTCTTTCAAAAAAGATGATTTTTATTGAAAGTTTGTACAAAGCCAATCAAGTGCCCTTTCACCAGTATTACACATCATTCAGAGGCTTGGGCTGTGATCCTCATGTGTCCACTTCCTGGAAGCTTTTGGATATGCTTGTTCTGTGTTCGGTAGCAGTGGCCAGTCCCCCTTCCCATCATCTTTGGCCTCCCTCACACGGGCACTGCACTCCGGGCATATATTCCACAGGAGCAGACTTGGTTAAACGGCACCTTGGGGATAGCTTCTGTTCAAGGGTTAGAGCAGCTCAGGGAGTCTTCGGGTCTCAGTGGGTCCAGGAAGTGGTTTTGAGGCTCTCCCACATTGTCCTTCCTTTTATCAGGGTCCAGCTGTTGAGGCCAGGCACCATCTAGTTCCTCTGGTCTCGAAGGAAACCTTGTTGACAATGGCAATGAGTCCTTTAAGTCTCCAGTTCTAGGCTTTCATCTCTTTTGCTCCAAACAGAGACCAGTAATTGTATCTTAGATGTCTGCTCTAAGCTTTTAAGACACCAGATACTGCTCACCAAGGACTTACCTGGGCAGGAATATGGAGTTTACAGACAATTGTGCTGTGCCCCAACCGGACTGATCCTGCCTTCACACCAAGGACACCAACCCCATGAATTGGTTATGTCTGAAAAGTACCATTTTCTGTGACCCTTATTTGTGTTAATGTGCATATATAAGGGTGAGTCAAAAATTATCCACACTCTGGCTGTAGAAATTATTTTAATCAACTTACAGAAATTACATCATTTTTTGACATAATCTCCTTGTTTCTCAATAAACTTTGTCCATATATCAACAAGCTTTCATGTTCCCTTATTAAAAAATACTCCAGGCTGACTGGCAACCACAAACGCAGTGCTGTCTTCGCTACATCAGAGTTGAATCTTCATCCTCGAAGCGCTGCTTTAAGGGAACCAGACAGGTGAGCAGCTGATAGAGCAAGATCAGGACTACAGGGAGGATGCTTTCACATCTCGACATTTTTGCAGAGTGCCAACAGTGTGGGCATGTGCACTTGTCACGCATGAGCACAACACCCTTGGATAGCAGGCCTCTGCGTTTTTTATCAGTGAGCATCTCACTATAGCAAGCACTGTTGATAAAAGCACTTTTTCCTGATAGTGTTCCAATACTGCCCTTGAGAATCCCAGAAAACTGTAAGCATCCATTTTCCAGCTGATGGATGTTAACTTGAATGTCTCCTTTGGTCAGAGATTGAGGATGTTTCTACTCAACACTCTGCTGTTTCCTAACCAATACCGATGTTTGTAAAGAAACTTTCACCTGACTTCAAGTATTGGTCCAGATTTTGTTAACAGATGTCCATGTTCACACCTGCACACAATGACCTTCAACGGAACGTACAGTCTATCCGACACAAGCTTTAATATAACGGAGTGGACAGTTTTTGACTCCTGTATCTAGAGACGTGTGAGTCCCATTGAGGCAGTTCTGACTTGGGGACTTGATAGGGTTTCTCAGCATGTAAGTCTTTGGCAGCCAAAAACCTCAGCCTTCTGCGGAGTGGTTGGTGGACTCTAATCCCTGACCCTGTAGGTCATAGTCTAATGCTTACTGTACAGAAGCACCACACTCCTGTGTCTGTATGTGTATAGGATTCCTGGTGTGCCCTAGATCAGCCCTGGACGGCTAACCATACAGTCAGCGGTTCAAGCTCACCCACTGCTCCTCTGAGCTGATGGCCACATCTTCCTCCCAAGCAGCAGCTGGTCAGCACTTGGAACAGCTTTGCTTCTAGTATACCTCACTCCATCCCCCCCAAATCCAACCCCACTGCCATCTAGCCAGTACTGACTCGCCTGGAGCAGAAGGGTGCCTCTTCTTCAGGGATCGGCTGGTGGGTTTGAACTGCAGGCACTGTACCTGAGGAGCTCTGGTGGCACAGTGGGTTAAGCACCTGGGCTGCTAACCTGAAGGTGTGTAGTTCAAACCCACCAACTACTCCGAGGGAGGACAATGAGGTCGCCTGTTTCCAGAAAGATTTACAGCCTCTGAAGCCACTAAGACGAACAACACTGATAGAACCTCAGTTACCACAGAAATGGACCCGGCACCCCCACCCCAGTGTCTGTCCGGAGGAAACAGGGTTGTTAGAAAGAAAATCCATTTATTATGGCTCTACTTCTAAAAGTCGAGACCTGGTGGGGCGCTGTGGGTTAATGCGCCAGACTGCAAGGTCGGCAGTTCAAGCTCACCAGCTGCTCCTCGGAAACCCTATACAGGGTCGCTATGGGTCGGAATCAACTCGACAGCACATGACAGCAACTTCTAAAAGCACATCAAAGGCATAAACACATCTGTGTACATGTGGCTATTCCTCCGTCAAAGGTCATGTATTTGAGATCCCTGGTTGTGGGAGGAGCCAGGAGATGACTCCGGGATCCCTCAACCATGTTTAGCATCGGAGCCCTGGTGTGGCACTGTGGGTTAATGCGCCAGACTGCAAAGCCGTTGGAACTGCAAGATCAGTGGTTCAAGCTCACCATCTGCTCCTTGGAAACCCTATACAAGGTCGCTATGGGTTGGAGCTGACTCGATGACACTTAACAGCAGCTCTGGTAGCGTAGTGGTTATGAATCCGGCTGCTAACCTCAGGGTCAGCAGTTCAAAACTACCAGCTGTTCCGTGGGAGAAAGATGAGGCTTTCTGCTCCTGTAGAGATTTACAGCCTTGGAAACCCTGTACAGGGTCGCTATGGGTCAGAACCGACTCCACGGCACATTACCACCACCACCACTATTGTGACCGTTTAAAAACTAGAGGGACCTTAATGAAAATAGACACCTTCCCCCAAACCTGGGGTTGTGGGCATGAGCAGCTTCTCTGAACCTGGTCCAACAGCCAGCAGTTGGTGTGACTTGTGTGTGTGTGTGGGGGGGTTAGGGTTGGCCTCTGAGGGCTCCCCAACCCCGCCCCTATTGTGCACCCCCCAGGGAGCTCCTGGAACCCAGTCATCCACCCATCTCCCTGATCCAGCTGGCTCCCTGCTCACCCCATCCAACTAACAGCCCAGCCTGCCCAGAAGCAGCCCAGACTCCAGCTTGGAGGTGTCAGGGGCTGGAATTCTGGTCCTCAGAACAGCACACAAACGTGCCACTAAGTTCTCTGTCCTCCAAAATGTGGGTCTTTGGGATGAGCAGAAATGCTTTTCTGAGTACATTTCCGAAAACCCTTATCAATAGCCTGAGGTGAGCCCCCGGAGTCTCAAACAGATGTGATTCTGAGCCAGGGTACTGAGGGATGAATAGGAGCTCACCTAGCCAAGGAGATCATTTGTTCTGGGTAGCATCTCTCTTTTTTGCTCCGTGTGAAGTGGAACCTCTTGGTCAGACTACATCAGGGGAAGGGGGTAATCAGATGGCAGACAAAGCCTTGACAAGGGCCAGCCTACAGTGACCAGCACCCTTCCCAGGGCTCTCACTTCTCAAGGGAGATGGAGAGCTGGGCTGAGTCACATCCTGGGTCACTGGGTTGTGTTGACTCAGATTGGTGGCTGGGAACCCAAGCCTTCAGATTCCCAAAGGAGACGAGGGTCTTCTGTGCAGGGCAGTAGGGGGCCTGAACACCTTCCAAGGGAAGAGGGTGGGATCAAGCCACAGGCACGGCACGGGGGCTGCCCCAGTGACGCACAACTTCCTCATAGTCTAGCCTGGCTTTCCATCTGGCAGGTTGGATGAGAGAGCCTTTGTCATCCCTGTGAAAGTGGCCTCATCTGGTGAGTTTCAAAGTGGACTTGATCCAGCTCTGTGCCCCAACACCACACAGTACAGTACCAAGGTGCTGAAACGCCCTGCTCTCAGCCCCAGGCATTCAGCAGTAAACTTGGCTCACACCCCAGCTGCCCTGTCTGCGGCTCCTCCTGGCTCTAAGACCCAGGGTGCGGCAGCTGAACCCACTGATTGACTGTGTGACTTTGGGCTGACTTGCTTAACCTCTCTGACCCTCCACCCCAGTTCCCTGCAAAACCAAGAGAGCAGAGAAACGAGGTCAAGTAGTCCCACCCAACTGCCCACCCACACTGGCCTCTCCACTGGGAGAGAGTTTCCCATCCTCCCCCAGAGCATCAGGGCCAGCGTGGGAAGGGGCAGATAGGAGTCCCTCATGTCCCCTCCTGTCTCACCTGGATCTCATGTGTTAAACGAGTGTTGAAAGAATACCCACCTAGGGTATCCTGAGCCCACAGATGGAGCAGTCTCAGGCTGGATGCCTGCCCACCCCACTTGTCATTCACTACAGGCGTCCCCTCTCCTGCCCTCTGGGGTCCAGGGCACAGGTGTTTAAGTAGCCAGAGGCGAGCCTCCATTAATACCGACGGAAGGGGTCCTCAGAGACCCTGGAGAGGGAGTCCCTGGCAGAGCTCAGCTCCCTGGTTCCAGAGCTCCGCCCACCCACCCAGTAAGTCTCCTCAGAGGCTCCCCACCAAGTGGGCTGTGAGAGGCGCTCTGTTACAGCCAGGCCGCCCTGTGCTGGGAAGGTCTTACCTAGTCAGTTTCTTTCCGTCTTCACCCAGCCACCCCCAGCCCCCTGGAAACAGCCCATGTCTACTCTCTCTCGCCCTTCTGCCTGCCTGCCACGAGACACTCGTGTTCCCAGGCGCCCCGGGGCGCTCCCACCAGCCGTCTAAACCCGTGGAGCCGTGATTCATCACCCGGGGTCGTGGATCACGATCTAAGAAGTCAGGGGACTTACTTGTTCCAGGTCTCTCCTGGAGGAACAGCTTTCTGGGCGCACAAAGCCTGTGGTCCCCAGGACCCTCGCGCGGGTCCGAGGGCCCGGCTAGAAACTCGTGTTACCTTTGACCAGGTCGCGCGTGTTCATTTTGCGAACGTGGGACCCTGGCCACCTCAGAAACCACAGCTGAGTGGGGCTTTGGAAGATGGGTGTCCCGACCAACAGTGGCCTCAGCGGCCTCCCCACCCCCAGCCCTGGGAACCCGGGAGATGCCGCCTTCGCTTCCTGCTCGACATTAAAGCCTTGAAACGTACAGGGTGAATGAAAGGCCGCCGCAGGCTGGAGGGCGATGACTCAGCCGCCTCCGCGACCCTCGCCCCGAGTCTGGGGCGCCCAGGCAGTGGGAGGGGACTCTGGACCGGGAGGGCACCCGGTCCAGGCAGACCCTTCGCGCCCTGGCCCGGAAGATACGGTCCCCGGATCAGGTTACCTCGAGGGCCCAGGGAAGAGGGGCGGCTCACGCCCCACGTTAACCCCGCGAGGCTGACAGAGGGTCGTGAGTGGCCCAGTTCTACAGAAGAGAAACATCGAGGCTCAGAGTAGCTGCTCTTCCGAGCAGAGAGAGAAGGACTTTCCCGGCGCAGCCCGTGGGTGGCACGATGGCTGATAAGAGGCTGGCCACTTCCGGGGACGCTCTGGGGGCGGCCAGCCGGCCGGGCACAGGGGGCGGAGGTCTAGGTCCCTGGACAGGGCCGGCTCGCCTGGTGAGTCAGCGGGCGGGGCGTGGCCTCCATAAAGGGCGGGGCGGGGCCTCCATAAAGGGCGGGGCGGGGCCTCCATAAAGGGCGGGGCGGGGCCTCCATAAAGGGCGGGGCGGGGCCTCCATAAAGGGCGGGGCGGGGCCGGGCGGGGCGGGGCCTCCACAAAGGGCGGCCCGCGCGGTGGGGGCTCTATAAAGGGCGGCCCGCGCTGTGGGGGCTCAGAGTCGAGCCCGCGCCACCAGCCCGTTGCCTGCGCCGCGCCCGCGCCCGTCCCGCGCCCGCCATGAAGACGCCCGGTCTGGTACTCCGCGAGGGTGAGCTGGAGAAGCGCAGCGACAGCCTGTTTCAGTTCTGGAAGAAGAAGCGCGGGGTCCTCACGCCCGACCGCCTGAGCCTCTTCCCCGCCGGGCCCGGCGCGCGGGCCAAGGAGCTGCGCTTCCACTCCATCCTCAAGGTGGATTGCGTGGAGCGCACCGGCAAGTACGTCTACTTCACCATCGTCACCACCGACCGTAAGGAGATTGACTTCCGCTGCCCGGGCGAGAGCTGCTGGAACGCGGCCATCACGTTGGCACTCATTGACTTCCAGAACCGCCGCGCACTGCAGACCTTCCGCAGCCGCCAAGAGCGCGCGCCCGCCGCGCCCGCCGAGCCCCGCGCGTCCTGAGCCGCCGGTGAGCGTGCGCTGCCTCCCCCGCCGGGGACTTGGGGACCCCCTGCGCCCGAGCTCCGGCCTCGCCGCTGACCTCCGTCTCCCCCAACAGGAGCCTGAGATTGGACGGATCGGGACGGAGGGAACCCGCGGCAGCCCACCGCAGATGCCGCCTGGGGAAGAACCTTCCGGTGCGGAGCCGAGAGCCTTGCCCCGCTGTGCGGGCGCGTTAAATTATTATTGGACGTTATCTATATATTTATTTTGATGGTTATTTGTCGTCTAGCTGTTCTGTCTTCGTGTTTTGTTTTTTTGCACTAATGTGTCAATTCCAAATAAATGACTTGACCGGTCCTTTTCTACCAGCCGTTGTGGCTCCTTGATTTTTCAGCTGGGATGCCTGGGGACGGGCGGGGAATGGACAGAAAGTCCCAACTGCGGGCCGGGAAGTGCCCTGCCCTGGGCTTTGGCTCCTGGCTGACTGGGTGTGGAGGGGAGGACAGGCCCGGTGGTAAGCTTGATGGGGGGGCACCGGCGCCTGCCTCCCCAGCTCTGAGCTGGGTGCACACGTGGGACGAGTCCTGCGACTCTCTTGGCTCTCCGCCCACGCACCACCTGTCCGACAACCGGAAGGAAGTCCTCAGTCACGCTGGCATCGGGCTCCATCGAGCCCTCCCCCCTCCCCAAGTTTAGGACAATCCAGCCACCAGACACACTGCTGACTGGTGCCCCTCAGCGGATGGTGCCTTTAGCAAGAAGACCTTTAAGTCCCAGGGCTGGCACAGGAAAGACATGGGGTGGGGGGCCAGCCTGTGCCCCTCCACCTAACACTGACCGTCCTACTCCCCATCACAGTGGGGGAAAGGGGTCTGTGTTTCAGGAACCGTGTCTCCTGGAGCAGGCGCAAGGCCGAGTCAGGAGATGAGAAACGCAGACCTGGACCCTATCACAGGCTTCCCAGCCATGCTCCAGGGGCCCAGGACAGGCAGAAGAGGGGGCTGTCCCTTTGTTGGGCAGCTTTCTAGAGTCTTCCGTGCTGTGCTGGGCCCAGACAGGAAATATTCCCAAGTCAGTTCCTTCTAAACAACCATTATGGAGCGTTTTTGCAAATGGCCAGTGTGTAAAAAAACCAGCTGGGGCTGAATCCAGGGGCTGGGCAGAGACAACACTCCCCCACACCCAGATTCTACACCGAATGGTCCAAGTCAAGGGGTGAGATCTATGTTCCTGGAGGTATTCAAGCAGAGGTGTGGGGTCTGACTGGGCTCTTGGCCTGGAAGGCTGATGCACCTCATCTCTGAGGCCCCTCCCAGTCTGGGGACTGAAATTCTGAGTTTTGGCAGCTGCCTCTTTGAGCCGAGGAGACAGCTTTCATGGTCTGGGGTGGGGGGATTTGCAGACCCCAGGTCCCAGAAGGCTCTCCAGAGTTGTTTTCTCCAGATGAGTCAAGTTGGCCTCTTCCATCCAGTGTCCCCTCTAGGTAGAGAGCTTGGGACCACCCGAGATTGTGAGAGGTCAGCCAGTGACCCTAAATTCCAGCTCCTGTGGCCTGGCCTCAGTGAGGATCAGCAAGGATGAGGAAGACAATCAGCTCTAGGACATGAGCAAGAAGGTGACCCCAAGGGACCCCTCCCACAGGTGCCTAGACAGCTGAACTCTGGGGCTCCTGATTTACCTTCGGAGCCCCTCCTGGGAATGAGTACCCTCTAAATTGCATTTTCTAGTCTTAGTTTTCTGATCTCAGTTTCTCACTGGGAACCTGTGGGTGGGGGTGAGGGATGAGAGCCCATGAGGAGCCCTGGCAACGTGCTCACCCCAGTCCAGCCCAACTGAAGCAGGTTCTGGGAATGGGATGGGGGTGGTGGGCAAAGGTGTCTGGGCATCAAGAGTGGGGCTTCCTGGATACTGGAGGGGGGACCTGGGGTGGGGACTGGACCAATGACCAACCAGGCAGACCCTGGTCCCTCACACGAGGGACAAACTTGGCCAAGCTGTGGCGGAAGTTCTGAGAAAGTGTTTATTGTCTGTCCATGTCTAGGAACGGCCATCACCGGAGCTTGTCCCCCTTTTGGGACATAGGCATCTTCCAGAGCACCAGAAAGACCACAATGTTGACAGCCATCTGCACATGTCCAAAGACAGCCACGCCAAAGAGATGATACAGGATGCCACCCAGGGTGGGGCCTATAGTGCGCGTCAGTGGCTGCACAGAAGCACAGAGACCCAGCATGGTACCTGCCAGGGAGGGACAGGTCAGGCAAGGCCAAGTATCCCCATATCCTTCATTCTCTCTGGCCTGCACATAGCTCCAGATCCTAAGGCCCAGTCCCCACATAGCCAAACACTCCCCCGTCCCCGGGAAGAGCCGGCTCTCTGCTCCCCGGATCTCCATCCTCCTGATATGGGGTCAGCTCCCTGCTGTGGGAAGTCTGGGTGCCCAGGAGGAGCCTGGGGGTTGGGGCTGCAGGTCACAGCAGCCTACACCCACCTCCCAGGCCTGCTTGGGGAGGTGGTATCTGTTTCAGGTGGAGACCTTCTCCCCCCAACCACCCGTACCCGCTACCCCCAGCAGAACTCAGACAGGGGAGCAGATACCCCGCAAGTCACTGCCCAGCCTTCTTCCAGCCACCCTACCCACCCACCGCCCTCCATGGATGTGAGGGACCCCTGCCCACTCTCCTCTAGGCCACGGCTCCAGGGACCCTGCTTCCTGTACCTAAAGCTTTGATGGTGTCCCAGTGACATGGGTGGATGACTGCTGTCCACAGTCACAGAAGATGGGGTGTTGGAGGGTCATGCATTCACCAAGCATAGAGTCCCCCGAGACATTTCTTTCTGGTCCCAGCCTCAGAGACTGCTGAGATCCCACCCTACTGCCCAGACCAGAGGGCCCCTGGCTCCAGCTCTTCCCAGATTCAGGGAGGTGCCTGGCAAGGATTCCCTCAGGCTCAGGGCTGGGCAGCCCCTCCCCACACCCACAAGTCCACAATTACCGCCCCCTCCAAGTGTTGGGTTCCCAGGCTAGCTCTGGGAACCAGCCCTGCTCCTCCCATCTATGGTAGGGTGGCCCCATGCCTGCACTGTGGCCAGGGGGTAGAATGTGGGGGCCAGGAGCCATTCCACACGGAGAGGGCCCCCAGGCCTCACACTGGCTCGAGTGAGGAGGGCCTATGGGATATCCTGAGGGCTTCCTGGAGGAGTTAACCAGCTGTGTGAATTCATTCACTCTCTCTCACTCATTCTTTCAGTATCTGGACACCTACTGTCTGCCCTCTGGGGTGTCTTCATTGCTGACCCTACAAGAGCTTCAAAACCAAACCCCACCTCCATGAAGCTCCCCTCCATCTCCCTGACCTGGCCCCAGACTGGTCAGTTGGATCCTGTGCAGGGCAGAGTCAGAGGACGGGCAGGCAGAATTCGTATACCCCCCTCCATGCTTACTCAACCCTCAGAAAAACCAACACCCAATGGGCTCCACTTGAGCTTCCCAGAGCCATCCCTCCCCATCCCTACTCTGGGCTGGGCCTCACCTGTGTCGGAGGCAGAGACGGCCTTGGTCAGCATGCTGTCGGTGACCACATTGAGGACGCACAGGCCAAAGACCAGGCCGGGCATCAGGAGGCAGAAGTGAGAGATGCTGGACATCAGTGCCTGGGTACCGGGGTGGACAGCGGCATTCAGATGAGTGGGGGATGGGACAACACGGGGCCAGGTGGAGGACCCACCCCGGGAGGCCCAATGTGATATGGACTGAGGGCAGGTCAGGGGCCATGGGGCTGAGGAAGAGGGGTGCTCACCATGGCCAGCCCAACAGCTATGAAGACCAGCACGCTGGCACGGAGCAGGGTGTCCTCAGAGAAACGGTTGCTCAGCCGCCCGATGACCATGCCCTGGATTATCTGGCGAAGGGGATTTCTGGCCTTACTATAGGCTGAAGGCAGCGGGGATCTCTAGCTTAGAGGTCCTCAGCAGCACTTGAATTTCCACATGAAGCTGAGCAGAGGCCCAGCGGATCTTATGAGAGCTCCGTGTCCCATGGAAGAAGAAGGACACTCGGGCACACACACGGGCAGCAGGCACTCACAGGCCACACTCGGATTGTAACTTTCAAAAGCTTTTGTGTCATGTTCATTTCAAGTGTGCCAAATGGGTTTTAAGAACTTCCGCCAGCACACTGGGTTATGCAAACATTGGTGATTCAAAACCACTGGCCACTCCGAGGGAGAAAGATGAGGCTATCTGTTCCCTCTGAGATATACTGTCCCAGAAACCCCTAGGTGGGGTCCTTGTGAGAAAGACCTGGATCTGCTTCCATGAAGATGACAGCCTAGAACCCTACGGTCAGGTCTACGTTGTCCCAGGGGGGCTCTATGAATCAGACTTGAGTCTACAGTGCGCAACTATGGACACCATTTCTCAGCAGGACAGCGAACTGCGGAAGAGGAGGCAAGAGGGAGGAAAGACAGCCTTACTGCACAAAAAGCAGCTTCTACTTGCTTGCTGAAAGTGAAGAGGACTTAAAATATTTACTGATGAAGATCAAAGAGCACAGCCTTCGGTATAGATTACATCTCAATGTAAAGAAAACAAAAATCCTCACCACTGGACCAGTAAACAACATTCTTATCAACA